TGTCATGGATCAGATTGGCAGTTAATGAGAGTATAATTAGTAACCTCCTCTAGTCCTCCCTCCCTCCCTCTCTCCTTCACTGTCCTTTGGAGGGTAAGGCCTTCCTTTATTTATCATTGATTGTATTACAGAGTGTATTACTAATAATAATGTACATGTATTGAACACATTTTACATTTTCCCTCCTACTGGTGGGCAAAATAATGTTGTCCTCTCTCTCTCTCTCTACAGTAGGAGGAGAAGGATCATTATGCCATTAGTTAATTCATAATGTCTGTTGATACTCAATTGAACTGGACAATAAAGGAGGAGATATTAATGGAGTTCCACCCCCATCTCCTCTGGAGAAGTAACAACAACAACAATAAACAACAAACAAGTAAACAAACAAGAGGAGGAGGAGACAGTAATACAGGACAAGTTAAAGGTATGTACATGTATCAATTAATAATTATATGTGTGGGTGGATTGATGTGCATTAATTAGAATATCATTTACAGTAGATTTTGTTGTCTGAGTATTTCCTGTTAAAGTTACTGGCTAGTCTTGATGAGCAGTTGGGACGTACCAAGTGGGTGGTACCAGTACGAGCTAATGATGAAATGGAAACATTAATTAAAGCATCAAATAAACTAGCGAAAGAAAGTAATGGAGTTGTACATGTAAGCCAAACCTCCAGGATGAGGTAAAGAGTTTGGAGAATGTCAGCGGTTCTATAGAAAAGTGGTAAGTGTACATGTACTTGTATTTATACATGTAAAATTGATTAATTATTGTACAGGATAGATTCACAGGATAGAGTAATCTGGTGTCTTCTTTTTTGATTTCATGCTTCCTCCAGGACCGCCTTTGCTGTTGGATCCTCTGTTCTTTTTGCTGTTCGGTGGAGGAGCAAACACAGGTGGTGGCTTAGCAGTTTAAATGATGAGTTACTTAAGAAGGAGGCAACCACTGACTCAAGGAGTGAGACCTTCTCTTCAATAATGAAGGTATGATATGGTTCATGTTAATAATAGTATTGTGATGTCAGTGGGGGTGTGGCCAATTATACTGTATTCCTGTACATATTGATGTCCTTGTGCTTTGATGTCCTTGATGTCCTTGTGTTTAAGCTGATTCAAGCTTTAATTTTTCAATTTATGGCCATTTTAAGGAAATGCCAAAATTTGAAAAAATTATTCAAAGCTATTATAGCCTTGGGTCTTTCTAAAATATGGCTCTGAAATTACCACTAATTTTTATTACATGGTCTGATACACATTGATGTCCTTATGCAGTGTAGAAAGTTTGAGCTGATTCCAGCTATTATTTTTAAAGTTAGAACCATTTTAAGAAAATGTTAAAATTTTGAAAAATCTCTCCATAATATCCTAATTTTGTTACATTTTTTGTTACACATTGATGTCTTTATGCTGTGTAGAAAGTTTAAGCTGATTCTGATTTCTATTTTTCAAGTTACGGCCATTTTAAGAAAATGCCAAAATTTTTGAAAAGAACACAAGGCTATTATAGTCATGGTAATGTGCATGTATAAGTACATATTTAAGTCTTGAAGCTTTGGTCTTTGAAAAAGATTTGCATGTTGTAGATGTACATTTAATTATGTGTATGTCATCAAATTTGAAAGTTATATTTTAAAATATTATTAGGCCACCAAGCCCCAAGAGTTCTTTATAAACCTGAGACTGGGGGCCCCTTTAATCCACAGCCTAGTGCTAATTCCCATTTGCCCCCCACCTATTGGTAGTCATGCATGATGTACATGTGACTAGTAACGTGATATCTTGTAATTATTTTTGTGTAGAATGTTCAGCTAATGGTACAGGATGTGGTGTTTGTCATTCAAGGGATCTGTTGTTCAGGTTTAGTGAAGATGTGGTTACATTTCCTAACTGCTCCTCACACTTTCACTGGTAAATACATGTACATGTACATAATGGACATTTGATGTGTCTAAATTTTGTGCTCATAAATAATCATTTTAAAAATACATGTAGCTACCTAATGCAATTAAAATAATCCAAACTAGCATGCTTCTGGTAATTTGAAGTTGTGGCATTTGTTGAACTGCTAAATTTTGGTGTGTTTTAATTTGTGTCCATGTCCCATTGAGCATGTACATGTGTACATAATGGTTCATAATGGTGGGTTTTATTTTCTATTATCAAAATGCCAAAATCACCAAAAATTCCCTCTCCAAAATCACACGTTCAGATATTTAAAAATGGACAAATCTTACAGTATGTGTCATGTATTAACCTTCTCTTTTCTAAGGTTATAGCAAGTTCCTCTTAAAGGTTCAAGTACATTAGGTATGTGTCAATATAATTATATTGTTCTCTGTTCTAGTGTGGGCAGCAATGTAGTGCCCCCTCCACGTGACACTGCCTGGGATCACTAGTGGTTACTACTGCTAGTGATGCTAAGAGCACTACATACAAGAAGAATAGATACTAACAGTAACTATGTATGATGAATTACATTCCATTGTTAGGTTAATGACACTAAGAGGATAAAGTACAATTCTCTGCTATTGAAGACTACATTGAGAAGTATTCTAAGTATAGTATTGTTAAATATGTTGTCATTGCTATAGGTTAATTGTTTGCTGTTTGAAGCTGTACATTAACTGAAGACTATAAAGAATTACACAACATTATTGTTTATAATTTTTAGCATTTTTGTTTAATACACAAAGTTGTCCTTTTATCATTGATTATTATGAATTTTGATTAAAATTATTGCGAGACCATTAATGCAGAAGCAGGTGCAATGACTTATAAACAGAACTGAGATTAATTCATGAAAAATGACAATAAAATAAGAGACAGGAGACAAAACAATAATTTGTTGACTTATAGCCATATTAAAAGTAGTAAATTTTTGAAAAAAATCAAAAGAAACACATACTAATAGTCTACAAAAATCATGCCAAACGAATGAAGGGAACACAATAACTAAAATAGATAGTAATTTCAGCAACTTAAAAAGTTTAGAATCAATTAACTCAAACTTTCTACATAACATAAATACTTGTACATGTATATGCATCAGAAAATGTAATAAAATCTAATTTTGATGAAAATCAGCTCAAAACATGTATAAGTATCATAAAGTGCAATAAAAATGAAAAATTATCTCCTTTTAAATTTTGGCAAAATTGGGCCGTAACCCTGTACTATAGTACAGTGACTTTTAGCTAATTTTAGAGTTACTTTAAAAATTTATAAAAATCCATTTTGGTTGAAATCAGCTCAAACTTTCTATGCAATAGAAGTACAAGTATTTACATCATAAAATTGAATAAAAATGCAAAATTTCCTCCTAGTATAATTAATATGGCGAAATTTGGATGTCCTAGTACAGGGACTCTTAACCAATTTTAAGGCAACTTGACTGAAAAATTTATTTTGAACAAAATCAGCTCAAAATTTCTACACAATATGAGGCATGTATATGTATCAGGACAAAATATAAAAATGATAATATAATGAAGATCTCTCTTCTTTAATATTGGCAAATTAGATAAATGATCCACTATATACTCATAAAATATTTCATTTAATTATAATTTATATTATCAGTAACTAGTTAATATGTACTTCATTGTGAACTGTCTGAATGTTGCCAAGTCATGCCTACAAATCACTGTCCAGTTAGCCCACGTGCCTCTAAAATGTAAAATGACAGGTGTATAAAATGGATCCTAATAGAGAGGTCATGATTGTTGAATAGTAGATTCATTCCAATGGATAGAGACTGACACTGAGTACTATTGTTAAGTCTTCAGAGGATGATATCACATGCAGTCTTTATTGCAGCACAGTCAACCAACGTGTATTCACGTGGGTAGATCTAGTCCACACCTACAATATTATTGTCGGACACGCCCTTAACCAGCTGACTTCAGCTTCTCGACTCGTCAGTTCTTATTTCTCATTATTCTCAAGCCTCTCATTCTCTTCTTTTCTCATTTTCTTTCGCTCTCTTTTGTGAAGAATGGCTACTGGTTGGACTCCAGTAAGTATATACTATCAATAGAGTATTATAATTAATGTATTGTACATATTGTGTTAGTAATGTACTGCCGGATACAATGTATATACATGATAGTGCCGGTACTGTTGGTTAATGTGTGTGGGTAGATCTTCATGTACATGTATATGATTCAATTGATGTAGTTAGTTTGGGAATTGTCCCAAATTTCAGATATAATGCTTTTGTCACATCTTGTACTGTACACATACAGTGTACTGTAGTATGTCTTGCACAGCTAATGCCTCAGAGTTATTTTTGCTTTGAGACAGTAAATCTTCCATATTCATTCAGCCACTATATACCTACCATAAATGATCCATTGGGAGTGATACATTAATTTTAGTATATCAATATTACTGCTTTATATGTTTATCGCTACG